GTTTGTTATGTATAAATCAAAATTCTAACGAGTATCTAGTTTTTGAGTTATATTACGTTGTATACTCTAAGGATAATGTAGATAGGTCATAGTTCATAACTATATTATATTTTGATCTATATATATAGAACATTATAATAACAAAACAAAACTATATATTACGCTTTTATAAGATTCTTATATATGACCAGTGTCTATACCTCATGTGATATTTGAGTAAAGAAATAGGTACGCAGTAGACAATATAGGTACTTATCTAAAGACTAAAAGCTAAATAAATTGTACATATGTTTGAATTTAGTAAGTAATGAAGATGTATTTATTATGTATAAATGTATAATTAATTAATTAATGTATAACAAGTAACAACGCTAAACCTATGTGTAATAGAGTAACAATAATAATAATAATTGACGCAAAATATTAAAAATAGTAACATGATTTTGTTGATTTTCAATCAGAATATTTTCCATTTGAAAAATACTATTATACGAAAAGTCAAAATTATAAAAAATAAAAGTGTATAAATCGCACTCAAGTCAGTAGTGTACGTTTGTAACTATTATAATGAATTTTAATATTTTCAATCAGATATAAGTGTCTCGTGTTTATATTATCTATAGGCAAACTGTAAACAATAAACATGGTTCAACATAATGTTGTAAAGGTATTATGGACACAGATTATAAATTATAATAATATCATTGTATTTCTAATCAATTTTTGTATATATCCATAATTTATTATAAAATTATCGTGATGGTCGACGGGGTAGGTATAACGCAGTTAAAATAATGCAAAGCTATATTGTGATATTATAGTAAACTTATCGATGATTAAAAAAAATATTGTCGCCGTTTTGAGAGCACAAAACAATATTATTGATTACGATGATTGTCTGAAAGTTATATCTAAGTGACCCAATGACCATGCATAGGAAGGGTAATGGGTTAATGGGTATAATGCAAGTCAGTGGCCGGTGGGTAAAACCATAGAACTATATACGCATAATATATTATAATATAGATGAGTACCTCCTATTATAGCTGCAACATTTATAATCTATTGATATATCTAATGCGGTGGTGGTGTTACCTAATGTTATTAGTTACCTAGTAAATACTTATACTCAACTTATTAAGTAGGTATCATAACAGCTATAGGGTTATCGAAATGAATCTCCGTTGTGCAGACTGCTGTAGTTGTAGTCAGAGATCAAATTTCAAACGCGTGCGACGACTGACGAGATACACACCTAAATGCCTAATTAAAAACTCGTTTGATTGAACACATAGGTATAACAATATAATATTGTTATGCGGCCGATCGTTAACTAAGAAATAGAAGTCATAATATAATATTATTATTTTTACACCATCAGCTAATTGTAGATTGTCTACTGCGTTATTATTTATTTTATTTAGGCCGTACGTTACAATATTATTTACCTACAATCCGTAGTCCATAGAATATGTACCTACATAATCTGAATCTATTTGCGGAACTAATTATGCGAATATTATATAATCGGTGATCAGTCGTGTACTCGTGTTTAATATAAGGACTAGACAAAAAGATCAATAATTATTGCCCAAGCTGCTGGCAAAAAAAACAAAAGCACAAATCGTAGACATACCTACTAACCCACCTAATCATACTATTATAGATTAGTCATTAGTGATTACCGATATCGTTGTTACTTTGTTTAACCATGATATTGGTATTTGGTACGGAATTCGTTTAACACGCTATACCGTCTACACGAATATTACCAGCTGAGGCATGTTCATGTGGGAGGGAGATGAATGTCATATCCGATATCATCCCTACTTCGGCTTATTTTTGTCATAATATAAAATATATACTATAAAGCAATGAAAGTTAATTTACCACTATATAATGGGGTCTACTGGTCTGGCAATGAAATCCATGTATGAAATGTATATCCACCCCCCCCCCTTTAAAAAATAGCTATAAGCACCGATTATTCATACTATATATTTATATCAGTGGCCATACAACTAATTACGTGTTTGGAATTAGCGGATATTGTGGACCTGTAACTGACGTGTCCTGGTGTAGTGTTCTGTGCGATACACACGGCGCCTTTTACCTAGAGAGCCTTTGTATATAATTATTATATATATTTATTTATTATACATCTCTTATTATATCTCTACTTTTACCTATGGACCGGCCCGTCGTATCCCAAAATCATTGACAGTCGCAATCCGACGCATAGAGCAGTGACGCTAGTGTGAATATATAGATATATTTTATACCGTATCAGAGTAATCGACAAGCGCCACCTATCTTGACTCGATGGAAACATGAAGTGGTCGGTTTATTAATAAAAAGTCTATGCCTGAAAGTTCGGTAATAATATGGGTACAGGAAAATTACAAAATATGGTAACCGCGCAGGCTATTATGAATTAAAACAGTTAGGTTAGAAAGTTACTTTTTAACTTGATTTTTACTTTCTAGCTAGTTATTGTGTCCATCTTTGTCTAAAGTCGTATATTGCCCGCAGCAACAGTGCAAAACGATATGCAAGCAATATGAGGCGGGAAAAACAAATCGTAGCTTATAAAAAAATTATAACGTACTTAAAAAACGTACTCTGTGGAAGGTGTATGGTTTTTTTTAATTGGCCGTAATACACACGAACCTTATAATTTTACAACGGTCTCAGATCATACTACTTGACACTTATATTGGTATAGTCCAGTGGCGGAATTATTTGGGGGGGATATGGGGATATATCCCCCCAGAGGCTATTTTTTCTAGATACTTTTTAGAATAAGATTTTTTCTAGAAAGCTTTTGGTACTTACTACATAATTCTATTAATTCAGTACCTAATTTAATTCTATGTATAGAAAAGCTATTGGCTATTTCCTGTGTTAAATAGTATTTATGATTTTTATTATTTTAAATAATAACTTAACTTAACTTAAGTTAATAAGATTATTGAAAATGTTCATATAACTTTTAACTTAACTGAGTTATAAAAAAAATTAGGTTAACTGTTAACTTAAAACTTTTTAAAATGTTTTCCATCAACTTATAACTTAACTCAGTTAAAAATTACCATTAACTTGCTCAGGCTTTATATTATCATAGTTGAGATTTTTTTTATTTTACTAGTAATTATAAAACTACGATAGCTCAACAATTACAATATATGACAAGACAGTAGTGGATCTGAATCTCATATAAGGAGGGGGCGAATTGGTATCATAGAATTTCAATATGTACATATTAGTTAATAGACATCTGTTATATATAATTAAAAAAACCTAGGGGGAGGGTAATCGCCACGTGCTCCCCTCAAATCCGCCACTGTAACAAGATAATTGTATCTACAGCTCACGGACTAAGATATAATGGACTGGTGACGTCATGGTAGGTGGGGGGGGGTAGGGGGACGGCCACGAAAAGGTGTGCTTTGCCTTTTGTACATACATTCGTAGCCGTGATACGCTGCTTTAATGGACTTCCGATGTTATCAGTGCATCTGGACATTAAGTTAAACCCCGATGACGTACTGGATATTTTGACGAAAATAAACAAAAAGGAAGATTGACTTGATATTATAATTTATTAAAAATACATTTAATCTTATTTAATTGTTTACTTTATCGTCTTTGAAAACCATTAGGTATTATACCATTTACCTCATTTACTTTATAATAATAAATTAATATAATATTATGATATATGCGATTTAATGGTCAAGGGGTGGTGGGGGCATAGCTCCCCACTAGAACAACAATATAAGTTTATAACCCACCCCAGAACCAATTCCAAATTACGCCATTGTGGTAGACTAATATACAATATTCTATACTATATTTGTGTTTGCATCTGCGATAAAGGACGGCAACAAACTCGAAATAATAATAGTAATAATAATCATCGTTTATTTTACATTTCCACTCCGGAGTGCTCCTACACGGACGTTGGGGGCTATTGTGACATGAACGCTAAATTTTTATTTTGATAAATCCGATAACTACGATGACAAATTTCTACGGGTTAAAAAAATATACGAGAGTAAGTTTGCCGTTATTATTAATTATTATTTTTTTTAACAAATGAAAAAAAGGTAAATCTACGTCGGATCCTAAGCGTTTAAAAACACGCTTTGAACATAAAAATAAACATTCCGTCGAGCTCAACAACGCACGCATAACAAAAATTAATGAGACAATATTAATTTTGAAAGAAGACGATTAGCAATACTGACTGTCGTGGTCACGCCGCTATGTTTAAAATAAAATACGTTTTGAATAGATTGCCAAAACAAAACGGAAAATGGGCTTGGCATTGTTCCAACAAGATGCGTTAGACAATCAAAAAATCCACGCTAACCACATTCAAAAAAAGAGTGTAGGTACCTATTTTTGACTGTGTGAAATAATACTTTCGTAGGAAAAAATTAGCAGGACGTGTCAAGTTTGTAGAAATCAATAGTAATTAGTAGGTAATTAAAGTAAATTCAATTAATTAGCATTTCATGACGTTCAAGTGCATAACAAATATATGTACCAATCGTTTCTTCAATTAGCATTAATCAATATTCGCAGAAAATCAAAATAATAAGCAGTTTGAATTTTAGATATATTTTAAAAATAGTTTCTTATAGTTACATTATAATATTTATCTAAAAAACAATAAATTAATAGCTTACTACCTACAGTAATAATTTAATATATTATACCGGTTGCAAAAAAAAAAAAAAAAATTTATAATATTAAAGAAAAAACTATAGCAAATATAAAGAAAAATAATGCATAATATATGTAAGTATGAGTAGTTTGTGTTACAGACTACATAAAGTACCTAGATTAGTAACTTTAAAATCTATTAATAACAATTTTAACTGGATATTTTGTATACTACTTAACAAAACGTAAAAAAAAAATGAATATTATACAATGATAAACATCTAGAAACAAAATTGTAATACTATATTAAAAATGTAAAAGCAAAGTCACTATTTCCTTAGTTTTCCGTTTGTATGAATGTAACTAACTTGGTTGGTTTTATGATCACCTACAATCAGATCTTCGTCTGGTCCTAAAAAAAAATGTATAAAAGTTGCTACAACTATATCTCAAACAAAAATCTAATCCTAGCCTAATTTCTCATACCTAAAATAACTAAATTTTACTCCTAAACAATCACTAAAAAAAGAAAATTACCTTTCAAGTAGTGACAAAAATTTTTTGATTTGTCCCAATCTTCAACAAGTGACAAGTTAAACATGGAATAAGCTGCGTTACCAGTTACCTCGGCTTCAATGTCTAGGAATTTTGGTAAACGGTCAAGCAGCTCTTGGTCCTCAAGAGCAGAATACGTCTCAAGTAACACTAACCCTTCACACCTAATACCAGATAAAAAAATAATTTACTATTGATAACAAAACAACACAGGAAGTCCAGTGAAAATACAGTTTTTAAAGTCTTTAGTTATTTACCTTTTATGACAAGGTTTACAATAAATGTCAAGCTGGAAATACTGATTGTAGTGTATAAAACATCGCCTTTTTTTGTAGATTGGATAGTGGGTTTCATCTTTTTGTGACAACAGATTCACATAGTCCCTGTGACTGAGCTGTGTTTTTACTTCTATTACTTGACCACGGACCCGAGGCCTGCGAATCGTATGTGTATAATTCCAATGACCTATAAACAAGCAAAATTGAAGTTATAGTCAGAGACGTTATGTAAATACAGATGGATAAGGAACCTTTTTGTCCTCGTTTTCGTAAGCGAGCTTGCATATTTTTAGTGTATGTCTGCAAGTAATTGTGTACGACATCAAAATCTTGAAATGGGGGGAACAACTGATCATTAGGCAGATACTTCACTAACCATTTACGTTTTTTCGAATTCGTTGCTAATCGATCACCAGTGTCTAGGCCCAATTTTTGACAAACTGCCTATAAAATATGAATAAACGAATAAAAATATTCTCTTGAGATCATAAATAATTGATTTAATGTTACTATTTACAGCTATCATTCTGCATATTTTATTTTCAAAATCCGATGAATTATCAATGACATCGAAGTATGGGTGTCCAATCCATGATGCTGACGCTTTGACATCTAGACTTTTAGCAAGAGACACGTCCTCTCTCCTGCTGGTATGATCCTGAAACAGATATTAAATTAATTAATGTTAAACACAATGGAAGAGTTTATGATGTTTTTACTTCGGTTGTATAAAAGTCTTCAGCCCCACATGCAGCAGACACCATGTGAATTATTTGATTGTAACGATTGTCTCTCAAGTCAACCATGTTCAAACCATTTTCTTTCATTATTAGATCCCATTTATTAGTAGGTATATCTATAAAAATAAACGATTAATTGTTCAATATTGTTCAATTCAAATAATTGTACAAGTGTTGAATAAAAATAGTAGAATGTTCACTTTTTTGGGCTATTCTAGTGACATGTTTTCTGGTCTACTAATTTTTTACCCATCTAGAACATCTAATTAAATACAACCAAAAAAAAAGAAAGTCACATGTATAAATATTTATTTTATTCTAAACAATTTAATAATTCAAATGATATTTTGTTATGAACTTATTTTATTGGTTGAATAACACAAAAATAATTATCTACAAATATTTGATAAAAATGAGTACGAAAGGTGGTCTACTAATTAACTGGTCACGGATAAAAAAATTGCAATTAAAAATAGCACCTATACAACCTATAATAATTTCATTAAGTAGCAATATTGTTATTGATCAATGATTGTTATAAAAATAATCTAAAATTATGTTATGAATTAAAAAAAAATTATCAATAACAATTTGATGTGTTAAGAGTACCATAATGTAAGCAATAGTGTTCCACTATACCACACATGTCGATGTTTTATATTTTATAAATCATCAATAACATAACATGCATTATACAGTTACATAATTTTTACATTTACGGTGTTAAAAATAAAAGTAAATTAATTATAATTTTTTTTTTTAGTGTTATCATATAAAATAATATTAATAATATTATTTAGTAATTTAAATTTTTTGAGTTTTTCTAATAGGTTGAATCTTATCTTTTTTGTTTCAATAATAACAATACTTCTTGTCGCCAACACTTTTTATATTTATAATATTATATGAATAATTGTTGTATTACATGCAGCAGCATCCATAGCACCTCTGTCACAAATGATTAGACAGTCTTGGTCACATGATTCCCCCAGTTCAAAAAATGTATTTTCTATTTGTAGCATACATCTGAGGAGGTTCTCTTGAAATTTATGGGCTGTAACAGAAAACAAAAATAATATTATGAGGCTAATGACAATAATTTCCAAGGACATGACATGTCTAAATAGCATCAAGCTTAATCGCATAGGCTTATCATTCCATTGGTAAGCATTCCCCCTCCCCTTTCCCTTGACTATAATTTGTGAGGCTTTTAAAATCAATATTATTATACGAACATCGAAACGTAACATGATACTATTTCAAAGGGGATATAATACAAATACTATGCGATTATAATAGAAATATATTATATCACATTACGAATATATGATGACCTACTAAGCTAGATTGCAGCTAGATGCAGCTTAGGGATTGCTAAATAATTCATGGTCGCAATAAAGGAGGTGTGTTAATTTGATTGCTGTATAAGAATAACAATTTAAAAACAGACGAAATATGACGTATACGGCATAATAAGCAATAGGGCGAAAACAAAAACAGTCATGCCCTGCGTAAAAACATACGATTATGAATAAATTTGATGGTTGGCCAAAAAAAAAACCGTTTTTTATCCTCACATTAAAGGATATAATTGAAACTCACGTATAGCGTGACTAAGGCAGATAAATGATCATATATAATTATTTCGAAATTTATTACCTTCGTCGTCACTTAATTCCGAAAATTTGATACCTCCACTGTAAAAAAATAAAGAAAAAATATAGGTAAATATTAAAGACAAAAATATATTCCTAAGTTTACTATTACTATACAATTCAAATTTATAACTATTCAGATGCATCGGGTGTATATTGAAGCTTTGTTGAACAATATTTATAAGCCGATTTTCCGGTTTTATAGTATTATAAATAAATAAGAATTCGTAATATTTTGATTTATAAAATAATACTTTAACTTATTTATTTTAAATCAAACCCCTCGTTAAGTGTTAACACAACACGTTTGTAAAATATATGGAAAATAAAATGTCAAGATTTAATTTATCGTTAAATAAAAATAATCATAGTAGTTCTATTAGCTGATTCTTGGAACCAATTTTTCATTAATTTTAAGGTCACTTTGCCTTAATAAATCCTTTTGACAAATATCAAAACAGATGAAAAATGAATACAAATAAACACATGACAGTTAAATTTGTTTTATACACTTTAAATTAAATTGTAATGTAAATTTATTATTTAAATTGAAAATAAAATATTTGGTCATTCATAACTAGTAATAAATATTATTACCTTAATAGAACATTGGCAGTCTCTGGAACTCTATAAACCTAAAATAAGTCAAAATGAAACAAGATATTTTAATAATGGAAATAATAATTTTAACATTTACCTTCCATCCTAAATTCTCAAAGAATGTACATAAGCGTGACTGTCCCGTTGTCTTGCCACCACAAGGGCCTAAATTTAGCAAATTACATAGGTATTATATATTAATCAAAATTAATAAGATAATGCAAACATTTACATCTATTCAAATTAACAATAATAAATAATTAACCATCTTTTTCCAAGTGTGTTAATATTTGTATTCAATTACGAGCACATTGTATAAATGATTTAAATTATAGATAGCGCAATGAATTATGACGGTGAAATTTATGTTAAAAAAATTAAATTTCGATAGATCATAATATGCACGAAAAGTAAATTAAATTATCATAGAATAACAATCTTATCGACAGCAAGCAATACTAATCAATTTACATTTTAAAGACTTCAATACGTCTGAGTATAATTTAATTAGGTAACTTATTCCGTATTCGTTTCTTAATGACACAAGTACACAACCAAAAAAAATATGTATCATTATAACGTCACTAAATTATACCTACACAGCTACAGGGTTCGTCAGTAGTTAAATTATATTAAATATGTTTATTCTTTATATTACTCGTTCAAAGAGATTACAAAATATTAATTAATAATATACCTACAATCTTACTATAACCTGAGGATTAAACTACAATTAATAGAATATAAAACCTAGCTAAAAGAATATAGGTCACTATTATGTTGACATATTCTGATAATCATTAGATATTCACATTACAAACTGAATATAATTATATTTTAATAATAAAAAAGCACCTAATTGTAAAAGTTTTAATAAAAAGAGATAAAGGCATTTATTATTATTTTTAAAATATATAGGTATACATTATAAAGACGATATTAAACAATGGTTATTTATGCATGTTAAGAAAAAAATAATGTACAAGAATATTTAAATATATAAATTATGAAGCACACGCATGATTTATGAGCATGAAAATTGTACAAGTGTATCTTATTCTGTTAGTCAGTATGGTTACTACTTATATTTGCCATTAAGTAACCTTTGTGTGATAACTACAAAAATAATTTACGACAAACCTTGAAATATATTAAGCACAAATGTACAATAATTATGAAGCCCAACCGTTCAAAATTTAAATATTTACTATAAATGTATGAAGTTATGACACAATTATTAGTAACGAAACGTGTAATAGTATGTAGATATTTAGATAGGTAAGAAATAGAAATTCGTTCTTCTTCATTTTTGTGGTAGGTACTTAATAATAATATAAAAGGAGAAAATATTTAAAATTTTTAATTAAAAATATTAATTGGGACTTATAATGAGCAACCAATTAAGTATTTGTATGATAAACGATTATAAAGTATACGTACAAGGTACAACTTTTTAACGAATTCTACTGCTAGACCTTGATGATTTTTTTTAGATAAATTAATTTACAGTTCACTATGTTGATGAGCATTTCATAATTTTATAAAACAATTTCGATTTTTACACATGTATTGAATTAGTTAAGTCGTATACATAATAATTATAGAGAATGCACGTTATTGAAAGTTACAAAAAAAAACCATAAATTATTAAGCAAAATAATACGATTAAATTAATCACGAAAAAGAATAATATAATACAAAACAAGAAAGATAAAATCTGAAGATTAATTTCAATCAATAATAAAGGTTAAAAAAGCATAATTACTAAAAGTATAAATTGCGCATGACCCATATATTATTGGTAGGACTTAAGACCTTAGACGACAAGGTATGTCAAGTATTATTTTTAAACTAAACATTTTCATTTTCAAAACAAATAAGTGCTTTTTCTTGAGTTTTGATTCAATACACTTAAGTTAAAATATATTTTTTGTTTGGAATTAATAGATAAATTAAGTGTTTATATCAATATCACATTGATAACCTTTAGAACCATTCCCGCAGCCTTTTAGAAAATGTGTTTTATTTAAAATGCCGTTAATTGATACACAGTCTTAATAAGTTATTAAAATTAGATAATAAACGAAAATACACGATATAATAAAATGTATTTAATTGATATATTGATATATAGGTATAAATATTTTAATAATTTTTTTTGTGTCTGAAGACATAATATGGTAAAAAAATAATAAATTAAGTATAATATATAATATTTTATTAAATAAGGAATCTAAGACGCTTAATAATAGGTAGTTGAATTGTATTATTTAAGCTTACCTATAACATATTCAAGAAATAAGATTCTAATTAAATAATAATATAAGAATGTATAGGTAATTTTAATACCTAGTTGTTATCGTAATAATTAAAATACAGTTATAAATTGAAATATTTATACAATTACATTTTTAAATATTAGAAGGTTTTCTTAAATGATTACGCTTTGAGCAATAAATAATTTCTTTTGTATTGAATGCAACAAAGTTTCTCTGTTCATGTATATATAATAAAACATATTGTATCATAAATTACAATTCATAATAATAATATTATTATTAAGCACAAAGTGTATGATATAAAGCAAGCAACACAGATTCAAATTAGTAGACCGTTTGATGTGTATGGATTTAATTATTATAACTTTTAACTATTATGTAACGTAATATTGAATGTACCAATGTAGACATATTTTTTTTTTTGCGACGGAGCAAACGGTCATAGTTTAATCAAATTAAATTATTTTGAACATAAAAATGAAAAACAACAATAATTTTGTGCATTGCGTTTTTAAAAAACGAGAGAAGAGATAACTATACTTTATGAAGATTAATCACAGGAAAACTGTGAGGCCGATAAAAAAAAATATCTTTTCTCAATATATTTTTCATATTAATACTATACAATACTATACAATACTTCACATACTAAATTGCGACTGAGAAAAAAATAAAATATGAAATATTATTAGTTAAGTATTATGGTAAATTTTTATATTTTTTTTGTCTACAATTTACAAAATCTGTATAGGTACATAAAAAAAGGTACTATAAGCATAACGTATATTTTTAAAATTATATTATATGTAGCAACTTGAGTGACTTGAGGAAGAACCAACCAGTGAACGCACTTCGGCGTGAATCTACAAATTATTTAGGTTTTTATGTGTTTAATTTATAATCTCGGGGCCATTGAGTCTTCTAGGAGTGTATCCGGGGATGGAGATGGATAGTAACTTTTTAACATGAGGGTCGGCGTGATTTTGAAGGCGATTTCTGAATTTAGAGTAATAAAGCTTGTCTGTTTCAATGACTTTAGGAATGTGGAGATCTGTGTGAAAGGTATGATTTGAGATACAAGGAGGCGCGCGCATTGGTCATGAGGATTTTTAATTGGAACACTTGTATTTTTTGAATATTCGATATTTTGGCATTGCCCCAGACCTTCGGTAAAAATTAAAACAATAATATAATAATTATTAAAGGTAGTTAGGTACAAAAAAACCCACAAGGCCATATTTTCGATCACATACATACTATGTTAATATTGGTTATATACAAGAACCAATTTTTTTAAATATGTGGGAATAGAATTATTTCTATTAGTTTTTGTTATTTATACTTGTAAAAATTCACTACAAGACTATTGATTAGATTATTAATATGACACATGTATGCACACGGTCACATATGTCTAATTAGTAATTACCATTTTAATTGTTTTAATAGTCCCTCAACCTACCAGCCAGTACTAAGTATAAAAAGTAAGTATACCTACGTATTAGCTTATTCTGAATGTATGAGTTTTATTTCAATGTCACGAGAATTGTACATACATTTTTACAACAATACTTTTTAAATAATTGTTCTAAATTTAAAATTGTATGATTCGTTAGGAATTTAATATATTAAGTAGAAATTTACGCAATAACAATATTGATTTTGGGTTAGTATAATATTAGTTAGTTATCAGAATTCTAAATGACACATAAATTGAGCTACCATTATATTATATTATTTGTACAGATATTTAAATAATAAAACTATAGCATACTACATTACTACCTACCAAAATTAAACACTTGTTGAAATAAAAGTACACACGTTTGAAAAATAAATATTTATCAGTGGCCAGCACGATTAACAAAGTTAAGAATGGACAATAGTATGTACGTGTAAAGTAGTAGGTAGTTAATTAATTTTAGAGTAGTAGAAAAATTATTATTATTCATATATTATGCTTAATGAATAATAATAACCGATGGACTATAGTTATCATATGCATACATTACTAAAGCACTATAAACACGTATTTTAATTTTAAGTTATAATAACTGATAATTTTTATGGTTTTTAATTTGAATAAAATAAATATAAAGTAATAGATGATACAAAAATTATGGTCTTCAAAATTAATCATAGGTATAATATTATACACTAATAATATACCTTAACACTTACATGATACTGGAATATATTTGTCTAATAACATAATCTAACTAGGTAAGAGTAGGACATGTATTGCAAATACCAACTTATTATAAGCAGTTGTAAGTTTATTAACTTTATTTTTAACCAAATTCGCGGCGTTTCAGATAGGCAAACTACAATGTGTTACTACTTTTTTAAGATTAAAATATATTATGATTATTATGTTGATAAACATTATAATTATGAGCACTGACCTCGCTTATTATTATAATTATTTTTGTTTGTTTGGTTAATTGTTAATTAATAAATTATAAAACTTTATTCCTTGAGTTTTTTTTTGTATGTAGGTTACCAAGTACTACCTATACCTAGATCAACCGTCGTATTGATTTTGTTATTGGTACCTACTCATTATTGGAACAATTAAATATTATTATAAAATAACTATTTCCCTTATTTTTGGTTAGGGACATGTACACCGTTGATAAAAAATTGTAAAATTATTTTATGAAACAATATTGCCGAAGCCCATACTCCTGTTTATAAGGACGTTACACCAACATTTGTTATCTAAATTCTACTTAAATAATATAGTTTTTTTTTTATTTGTTTAAACCGAGAACCGGGGACGGAATTCCTTTTGCATTAGTTTGACCCTTTCAAGATATACCTGGTACCGGTATTTTAGTAAGTAAGTTTTTAAGCTGAGTAATTTTCTGGTGTTTTTGATACATC